CAGTAAGAGTATACGGTTCATCCATTTTCGGAATTGGGACCGTACCGTTTTCCTATCTGGTACATTTCACACTGAAAGCATCTCCTATAGAAAAATCCATTCACCCATTCCTTCTATAGGACGCTAGACTAGTTGGAAAATGTGTCCAGACAAATTTTCAATACAGAGTATTGGGGTATCGATTTCCGATTTCCGGGAATCGTAGCAAATTAATGAATACTCTCCACCCCATGAAGTAGTCACTCTACCAAGTTACCGAATTGTCCCATGTGGGTGATTACCAAGCTCTACTCACTGACTTTGTAATTGCAGGTGATCCCCAGAGAATTACCGGCTCACTCGAAGGTGTCATCAATGGAATCTCCATCGATCATGTCGATTTGTACACTTTGGTCACGGCTACAGATGGACATGCCTATACGGCTTTGTCGAAAATCCCATCTGACCTCGGACATCAGTTCCTGCTACTGAATGCGATTGGCTCCGTCATGGGATGGCTCTTTGCAGAAGTTTGTTTGACTGCCGACAACTATCACAAATTATGGCTTTACTTATGCCATCCGTTCAGGTACGATCGCCAACTGCTTACAACGGCTTTCAACTGACTGGTGCCCATTTCAATCGTACCGTAACCCTACATATTGGAGATCGATATCATGTATCAATTCGTCAACAGTACAACGGCAGAGACGATTATCGTTATCTAAAGGTCACGGTAAGAACCTGGTAGAAGCCTACTATGGTTATTTTCAGAAAAAAACTTATAAACCTTCAATAGTTCCGTATTTGTCCATACGGTATTTCAAAAGTGTATGTTCTTGCGGAAGAATCAATCCTTCACACGGGGTTAAATCTAAAATCAGATATCTGAGGACTTGTGAAATTCAAAAATAGTTCAGGTATTCGTTTCTGGAACTTTGCCAGATGTTGCACCCGGCACTGAGATTGCATTCCCGGATTACGAAGAGGAATATCGCCGTGAACGACCGGGTAACCGATCAATATATCGATTTTCTATTATTTGAATGCCCTCTGATTTTCCACTCTATAGGACTTATTCGCTCGTACACTGGTATGGATGTCCAGCTAAGTGAACATGGTCAGCCGAAATCGATGAGAATGACTATCGATCAGCAAATCCAATTTGAGGAATGTCCTCATCGACCGGTAAGAGTTGAATACCATAACTGGTTGGCTATTGGGGGCGGGCCGTTTCGTTTTGTGGGCGGAGAGATCGGCACTTTCTAATCGCTGAGATCACTTGATTCTAGCGAGATGAAGAACTTATTGGTGTTCTTTTGCAATAGAGCCAACCGAAAATTTTTTGAACTCGTAGACTTTCTGATAGTTTCGTACGGTATATAACTAACTTCGCGCTCAAATTATTTTATCAAGCCCTAGTCTTGCTGACGTTGGTGCCTTGATATTTCTGATTCTTACGCTTAAACTTATTTATTTGGCACTTTATCAGTAGAAGTCGTATTCTTTTTGATAGATGAGTAATTTACGACCGTAATCCCTGAAGAGTGCCTGGCACCTACTTCTTTCAGTTCGACAAGGAACACTCTGTAGCGCTTCACGTTAGACGAACCCACGTCAACTACGTTGCTGACGATGGTATCGTACGGTAGGTGGCTTGAGGGGACGTTTTGATGGGATAGGGAAGTTTGGAGTGCGAAGAACCCGTTTTAGGTACGGCTCCCGGAATTACATCCATTCTGTCGGTACTCCTGAACACGGTGGTAGTGCGCAGACAGATCCTCGCCAGCAAGCTTTGGCTCAACAACAGGCTCAACTACACCAACAAGTAAATCCGGTTGGTCAGACAACTGAAGTAAGGCCACTTAGTCATTAGGAACTTTGTTAATAGAACCTCTGTATCTATATTTTGCTTATCGCAAAATGCGATGCTACCGTAATATTCTTATTCCATTCAGGAAATCTGTACAGAAGGTCGTCATGTATGCACTTTACCAAATATGAGATGTCGGCCGGTAGCACCGTCATATCGTTGTGAATGCCTACCTGGATTCCAACCTGTTCATGACACGGAGTCGCCCTTGGGATGGAAATGCCAAGGTTCTGTTTACTCTACTGTTTACTCCTTACTCTTGTTTACTGGAATTCAGGCAAAACCCTTATGATTTAAAATGTTTAATGCCTCTCGCTGCCTCCTTCTATTGCACTACTGTAGCTATACTGTAGCTTATATGTAGCTACAGTATAGCTGCATCTAGTAGACAATGCCCACAATAGATCTATCGATCGTTATTGATTTTCAGATTTGGATGAGTGCGAGCGAAGAGAACATACTTGCGATCGTAATGCTGTCTGTGAAAACACTGAAGGATCGTTCACTTGCCAGTGTCGTTCGGGATACACCGGCGATGGCCATCACTGCATGAGTTAGTCAATTTTCAATGCTAGTTCGATTTTTCGAAAAGAGCCAGGATGGGTTAGTGGTAATTGGCGGTGCCATCTCGCGTATGGCCTAGGGATCGAATATCGGCGGTACCCATCGAGACAAGGGAGACCTTCCTTCTTCACAGGTTATAGAAAGGCATCAGGCTGGTGCAGCCAGTCTTTTCAAATTAGTCTTCAGCCTGAGCGCTGGTCCGAGCGCCATAGATCCGTTCAAAAGGCATTTCCTCTATCTCGATGGCCTGAAGGCTAGAACTCCCTGATGAGGCGATTTTCAGGCACCGAACCTGAAGAAACGGAAGCCCCTCCGCCCCAGGTTGGACGCCAAGAGCCTCCCTCTGGACAGTCGAAGGTGCGTGATCAAAATACTTTATGCATTTGAATGTAATTTTCCAAATAACGGAAACAATTGGAAGTCGCTTATCATTAGCTCTATGCTTATAAAATGGTAAGCTTTGCCTTCAGGGAACGTGCACCAATCATCAACAATGCCATCAATGGGGAGAATGTGTGTTCGCTGATGGCTCTCCATATGGTCAGTGCCGTTGCCGTGGATGGTACACGGGTGATGGAGTGGANCATTGTGGACCCCCTCAGGGTGAGTACTCGAAAGAAAAACGACCTTCGAAAAGAATAGGAGGATGGTCCGTTTCTGGGTGCACCCTACATACACTGGTAAGTTGCGACATCACGTTGTCCTTGGTGACTGTCGTTGACTATCCACTGAATATTATCACTCCGGAGCCTGGTACACGGGCTCTCGAACTAGCTTTACTACTATTCTCCTTACTCGAGTATCACTCCTCAACTATAGCCGTCAGCTTGAGACCTAACTTGAGTAACTCGAATAAAGTCGAACATCGAGCGTTTGAGTGTTGGCGCTTTACGCCTCTCGGTGATCCAGAACTCAAAGAATGGGAAGAGCACGCGATTCAGGCCAGGTCCGGACTTCCACATGGGATTCATAGGTAGAGCGTAGGATCGCAATCTATATTATCGCAAGGTCATACAACTCTATATAATATCAGGGGTATTTTAATTGCATGAGTGTCATGTGGAAACCTTGAAATACCTTGCTAGAATTAGCTTCTTCTAAAAGCTCAACTATTCAGAGCCACGTCGTGAAGAGCCTCGTCGAGAAGAAGGACGCCGGGAAGAAGAACGTCGAGAGGAGCCACGTCGCGAAGAACGCCCGCATCCGGGAACATATGAAGGAGCAGGACGTCCATGCGGCCATCACATATGCCATGCAAACGCCGAATGTATGCCGTCACCCAGTGGAGGGGTCCGTTACTCCTTCATTTCGTTTCCTTCTATTTCAAGACCCTGACCCCAATGAGCTGAGATTCCGACAGCTACGGCGTGATTAATTACTATGAATGACATGGAAAAACCGTGGACTTTGAGGTTGCTTAACCGGAACTGAATCCTTTGGTATACTCTCGCTGTCAGTTGGTTATTTGCTCAATTAACTGCAAAGCCTAAGCCTTTCTATCCTCAAACTGTTACCCGGATCTGAAGCTCTTGCTCGCCAAAGGGAATTTAGAGATCGATCTCAAAAGACGCATTTAGAACTATACTGTAACTTTGTATCTTTACTGCATTTAGAATCATTTTGGCAGCTAGTATTCCCCTTCGAGCACGTTCTTTTTGTTATGAACAGCATCGAGTCCATCCCTTGTTCCTTTCTCCTCCATCCTCTTGCTCCAACGTCCGCGCCGTCCCATGAGCAAAGAACGGCCTTCCTTATAAAAGTCATTCCATTCGTTTAGGCTAAACAAGCTCTCTCACAAAGAATGAGGAAAAGAGCGACTAGAACAATTTTCTGAGACTTGTTTCTTTAGTCTGAATGCGTATGTCGGGCTGGCTACGCAGGTAACGGAATCAGTTGCGAATCTCTGGATGATGGAGGTGAAGAAGAAAGGCATACACCGGTACAAGAAGGAGTAGTAGGTGAGAGACGTTCAAAAATCACTTTTTGCAACAACCATTGAGAGTGTTTAGCGGAGTAAGCTGTTTTCATTCTGGAAAGCAGAGAAGCTTGCCTTTTCACTTGCTTTAACGGTGAATTGAAACCGAAAAATACTGAAGGTGTTCGCAGTGTAGTGGGTTGAAACGACGTTTGCAAAGTGGAGTACAGTTGTCGACTGTACTATCTGTCCTTTACCTGGACCGATAGACTTTATTCTACAAATTCTTATTATCTACAAGTAATCTGGGCGAATTAAATTCCCTGAAGCTAATATAATCGTCTTAATTGGTGATTTTTCTTGTCGGCTAGTAGTAGAACTTTTCTCGGAAAGCTTCGAAAAAGCGTTTGCTTCGTGCCAATCAAACTTTGGTTATTTAGGGAATGATGGTCTGAAAATTGGTTTTGCATTTTAGTTTAACTATGTAATTTTCTACAACATATACTGTTAAGCTCCAGAGCACGATTTTTCCTCTGCTCCATTCCTCTCGTAAGAGGATATAGAGGACTTTCACCTCTGGTAGGCTTTAGTAAAAGCCTGAACCAATGGCTAGGGTGGCCTTCACTCAGAAGATGCTTATTAATTCCCTTCTTAGGACGAATCCTATCCGGGTGATTTCCATTACAGGAAAGGTCTGCCGAGCTCACGAGGAATGCTCAGTTCACGGAAGCTGTAGCTACAGTAGAACACTGGGCTACTATCACTGCGCATGTACCGAGCCATATGTTGGAAACGGAGTGGAATGTGCATTGCCAGGAGCAGAAACGACTGAGGAACGAGGTAAGGAAGACTTATGGTCCATTTTGTATCCTTTTTTGGCCTCACCCTAGTCGCTGGTGGAAGCGCACTCGATCTGAACTTATTGTAAATCATCAATAAATAATAAAAATATGAGTCACCTTGAACTTCTTCGGCTACATCGATCCCTCGTCCGCGTGACGCAAGCTGTGCCTGAGAACTGTTTACGACATTTTCCTATTTTGGTTCCATGAGAGTAAGCGAGTGGCGTGTTAACTACTTAATTGCCCTGTAGCCGAAGAAGTTGGCAGTAAAACATCACACGCCTGCCATTGAGGCCATGTCTGCCACTTGTATTTATTTACTATCATGTTTACCGTTCGTTTATGGATTTTTACTGTTGACATCGTCTGTATGCACAGTTGCAGTCGCTTCAGAAACAGGTACTATCGTGAGAGTGGTCACAAGTTATTGGTTTTGTTGATAGCGTTTCCTGATGTTCTCTATTATGTACGTGAATCAGCCGCCATCACAGTTCCCCTGACGTTCCATTATAGTACCCCTGACGTTGAGCTCCTTCTGTGGACTGAGAGTGGCCTTAGGTCGATCATAATATGCTAGAGATGGCTTTGCCATTAAGAACTCCCCGAAGTTTCCGGGATCAGACCATTCCAAGTAGAAGATAGAATACTGTTGTTTGGAACTTGAAGGATTAGATTTAATAGATTAGGGACGTGCTGATTGGTAGAATCGGAAGAATCACCAGAAGTGGAAGATTTTTATCGATCGGGTTTCACATCCCATTCTCCTTTCCCCCAGGGAAAGAACGGATCTTCGTCCCCCTAAGTTTCCGTAGTTGGGAGGGAAGAAGCGGAGCGGTTCCTAGTTGATCATCCCCCTGAAAGCATGGATTAAAGACGTTGCCCTGGTTACTGACATATTTTCAGTTCGAATAAGTGGAAGCTTCTTTATAATCAATCAGATGCAGGTACCCCCCCCCCCCCCCACTTTCCCCTCCAAAAGTTGCAGTTCAATTTGATCTTCATCTGGGTTGCTCTACATTCCTGTATAAGTAGGTATTTGATTATTTGATCGCTTGCAGGTTCTGAGGTAACGCAAGGTTGCGATCGGCTTCGGAACTGCGACGAAAATGCTCAATGTGTCTACGATAGCCACAACAGGTATTCCATTTCAACCTTCAGACCTTGCTCAGTACAGTCAGCTAGAAGTCTTTAGGGTCCACCGTTGTGAGTGCTACGAAGGCTATGCTGGTGATGGAATGACTTGTGTGAAAATTCATACACAAGAAACTCAATGGGATCGACAACAAGGTTAGTGAGCTCGTGAAAGTAGACGATAGGCCAAGACGTATTCCGTGCGAATTTACCGCTCCATGTGCGGCACGTGTCCTTTCTCCCAACTGCCGCGCGAATATTTCGCGAGCGGCAAATTTGTAAGGCGTGCGACCTTCAACAACGGTAGTAACGTGACTGAATTAATTCCAAGTGGAAAACAAGAGCGCAGTAATTGACTGGAAATTGTCATCAAATTTAAAAAAATAAGAGCAAGTTTGTGATTCAGCACACCCGCAGCAGTGTCGTGACTCAACGGATTGCCATGAAAATGGTCATTGTGTGGTGGTCGATAATAAGGGCTACATTTGCGAATGTCTACCTGGATATCGTGGTGACGGAGTTCGGCAGTGTGTGGTGGCTGGTACGTTCACAGCTATTCACTATGAACTTAATATTGTTCATGTTCAACGTTCAAGTGCAGTCAGTCCTCTGAACGCTACTATCATTCGCCAATATCTCGCAGCTTTTTTTGTTTATTTATTTTACAAACTGAGTGTTTTTACTGTTCGAATTCTCTAGACCAGTGCAACCCGACGGACCCGTCCGGATGCCATCAAAACGCTGAGTGTGTCTACGGAGAGACGGAACGAGCATACGTCTGCAAATGTGTGCGAGGTAGGATTATCTGCATGAATTTGGTGAAATACCCCCATAAATCACCCGAAACCAATTTTTCAATCAGTACAGCTGAGTCTTACATCTTGCACTTCTGAGCAGCTGAGATCTTTCCTAGAAGCCTAAGTCTTTTTCGTCCCATTCTCCGTATCCCGCATAGGCATATGCCCACGGCATCGGCTCTCTTTCAGAAAGCTGGATACTCTGCTATTTAAATTGACATAAAAAACCTTTCTGTGACAAATGTAATACACTGCTCCTGAAGGGTTGGACGTCGTGAGCAAAACCTCAGAGAACTTCAAGCTCCTGTAGAGCAAACTTCTGAAGATCACGTGGAAAATTTAATAATCCGACTATCACCATCAAAAACACAAGAACTTGTGATTAATACGCTTTCAGGATTTACTGGAGACGGAGTACGATGTGTTCCTCATGCACAACCTCAGACGTGTCGTGAGGAGCCACGCCTATGCCATGCCAACGCTCAATGTGTCTACAACCACGAAGCAAACACATTTGCATGCGTGTGCAAACCAGGATCTGTCGGAGACGGAACCCATCGATGTGATCCTCAGGGTGAGTGATGTTAGCCCCTCTTTGACCAGTCGAATATCCGTCTCAGGAAGAACAGTACCTGAGTTCCCTGAGAATCTTCCTTTAAACGTGCTCAGGCATGNGTTCCTGATTTGTTACCGAAGGCGACCTAGCTCAAAGAGCAGCNGGATCTGTCGGAGACGGAACCCATCGATGTGATCCTCAAGGTGAGTTACGTAAGGCCCTCTTTGTCCGGTCGAATTTCCGTCTCAGGAAGTACGGTACCTGGGTTCCCTGAGAATCTTCCTTTAAACGTGCTCAGGCATGCTGGAGTCAGTTGGTACTGCAATTATGGGGGCGGAGCTGACTGATGTCCGTAAGATCCGCCTCCTTATTTTCACTTGCTCACACTTACGATATTTCACTAACAGCCTTTGAAGCTGTGATGCTAACTATGACGTATGATTTGTGAGTCTTTAGAGACACCACGCTGCACAAACTGCTCTATTCACGCTCACTGCAGTCAGTCACATACCACTGGAGGATGGCAATGCAAGTGTAACGCTGGCTATCAAGGAAATGGATATGTTTGCAGTGCTATGAGTAGGTTAATTCTGTAGGCTATGGTTTTCCAGACACAACTGTCTGGTTGAGTCGCGGTTCGCACAAACTTGATTTTCGCTAGGGAGGTGAGGCGTGCCCTAAAAGGAGAGGACTAAAGGGGACAGATAGTATAGGCTATGTGATGGGCTTCCATCGTAGGATGACTCAAGCCTGACGTGATCATCTATAACTCGGGCTCCGGCTCGTCTATGGCATAGGCACTAGCCATAGCTGCTGAAGAACCTAAAAGGAGAGGCATGGTTGGAATTCTTAGGTAGAATAAGGTGGTGTCGCTAATATACTGTTGGGGAAGTAAATTCTGTATCAACACCGAATCAACCCCGGAAGGCTTCTTAGGAGTCAAGTAACTGGTTCCGGATAAGTCTAAGAGGAGAAAACCAGTGATAAATACATGGGCCGGCCCAAATCATTGAATTAGCCGAATAATTGTCGACTACGGTTCTCAATATAAGTAGTTTGCATGGCTCATCCCCAGAGGATCGATCATTTCCATACACTATCCCTGTGCTTGTCAGACTTCCCAGTTCAGCTATAAATTCAGCATCATGCCTCGATGACCGCTCTCTATGTGATCCGCATGCTGAATGTGTACCAGGAGAAGGAGGATATTACGTATGCAACTGTCATTACGGCTATCGTGGCAATGGACGTACATGTACTCGTGAGTTCCTTAAAAATTCAGAATTCCTGCTGCTTTGTTGCCTAAAACTTGCTTTGGCTACTTCTCTCAAATTATTGAACCTGTATAAAACTGAGGGCCAAGCCTGGCCCAAACTGCATATGAGCTTACGGTAACTTCTTCTAATGTTGTAGTCTATATTAATTCCTTTCGAATTCAGCTGATTCCCAGTCTCGAGACGATATTCTGCTTATCTCTCGAGGTATGGCGATTTTCCATCGAGGAATCAATCCGGAAGTGCCCGGAAAACAAGTAAGTGTAACGAATTTCTTTTATGAATCGTTTTGTTCATACTCCATTGGAGCGTCTTTTTCAATAAGTATCGATTTTGCGCGCGTGTATAATCGATATCTATGTCTGACGTGCACTTCCTCGAGATCGATCTGAGCTACCAAAAAAAACTAAAATTAGACTCTGGGCTCTGGAAATCTAAGCTTATACCAGTAGTAGCAAAAGCTAATATTTGCTTAGTATTCACATTTTCCTGAATATCTTTTCCTATTTCATAATGATTTCACGTAATTCTCCTTTCAGCTGGTTGTCATTCCTCATCATATCGCTGTCGGCTTGGACTATGATTGCCAGGATGCTCGATTCGTCTGGAGCGATATTTCCGGTACATTTTTTCCTTAAAAAATCCATGTTATTAAGAGTAAAAAAGAATCTGTAACGTTATCCAAAGAACTTCGTTTTACCTCCTTGGATCAAGCTGTTCAGGGTAATACCTAGGGCGTAGGTAGCTCAGTAGCCATGAGGAACGCTACCCATCTTCCTGTCACTGAGATCGAATGTCGCCTTACAATTTGGCTAACATTCCATACAATAATTCCAAACATTAGAAAGTTTCTCTCAGTGGCATCTGCCCCATGACCGCTGTTTAGATTAAAGTACAGTTCACGACAATTCAGAGGTATTTTACCTTGTGAAATAATGGAAGTTATTATGCAGAATAATGTAAAAATTGCAAAAATCAACGGGTTTCAAAAAAGTAGTAAGAAGGGATTGTACGAGATTGCGTGTCCGTAACCTTCTGGGTGTCTCCCACATGAGCGTACTATTCAACGGCGTCTTGACGCCTGGTGCAGCCCTAAAAAGGCCGTCATAACACGGCCTCCTTTGGATGTGTACGTCGGTCAAACCGATTTTGGAACCCCTATGACGCCTCGTCAAGTCGTTTCGGTCGACCAAGTCACACATGCGGTCCCTGGGAGCCACAGGTTCATCCAAAAGGATAATCTCAGAAACAATTCTGATAGTGAACTGTGTCTTTAAAGACATTCTGGTGTACCTAAACAACTGTGTTCACGTGATTTGATACAGTAAGGAGAAAGGCGAACTAAAAGGGTTTCCCTGGTCTCCTTCGTGACCTATCCTTTTATTTTATCAACAAAGAAAAGAAAAATTTCGTGACGTAAACCTAAAAGCTTCTAATTCCACACACTTCAGGTCATTCAATAAAATCTGCTTCGTTAAACGGTACCGATATGAAATCGTACTATAAAAAGGATCTGAACAGTCCGGAAGGTGTTGCTGTCGACTGGTCATCCAGGTTAGCCACAAAATCTCTTGTGCCCATCAGTTATCCTCAGTCCTTTACAGACCTCCCAATGCTTTTCTTTCTTTCCAGAAATGTCTATTACGCCGATTCCCTGAATGATGAAATTGGAGTGGCCTCTCTTGATGGGCAATACCAGAAACCCCTCATAACCGAAGGCCTTGTGAATCCTCGAGCTCTGGCACTCGATCTCAACAATAAGTTCGTTGCCCTGATTGACTAGAAATAAAAACCTGGTTTGGCAAATAATCTCGACTTCCAGGCACTTGTTCTACACCGATTGGCACCGAGAGAATCCTATAATTGGACGAGTTGACATGGATGGAAAGAACAACAGGGTGTTCCTGAATGATGATATTCACTTGCCGAATGGCATTACGATCCTCCCGAATCGACGTGAACTCTGTTGGGTGGACGCTGGGAATCACAGGTACGCTTTTGGCGGATGAATTTCGGTTCAGAGAACGTGAAACATTGGTTTTGCTTTCCAAGAAAAAGTGGGTCCTCAATCATAACAGCCGCGTGATGGGTTGCTTCACGCACGCTTACCACTTAGGGAGAACTTTGGTATTGATTTTACGCGCGTGACAACGACCGCTTTTGACCAGTAGGAAAAGCTGTAGTGTCAGACAGAATCAGAGATCTCTAAAATTCCCCTCCCTTTACGAATTGCTTCAAAGGTTTATCCGCTTGTTAATATTTCTCACCATTTCCCTAGAACATCAATCTCATTCCTTCTCGTTCCTCGGGTGACAGTTGAAAAGAAGGATGAGAATAGGACTGGACTCTGCAATAAGACTTGTGTGGTTCACCACTGCATGACTGCTGCTGCTTCACTGCTTGAGTCGGAACTACAAACTTTCTAGGTTTATAGCACGACCATATTGGGGCATTTCAGGTTGTCCTGCATCGGCCTCGATGGTAATAACCGTCGTGTCGTCTACGCACCACTACAGTATCCGTTTGGTTTGACGCACAATAACGAAGCCAAGTTCTACTGGACCGACTGGAAAGAGTAAGTAATCGAATCGGGTGGGCAGATGCCCTTCATGAGCATGAACGCACACCTGGATTAGCCACAAATGAAGGGGAATGAAATTTTAAAAATATAATTAAATTGAGCGCTATGCTCGCAAATGCTGTTCCTGATTTGTTACCGAAGGCGACCTAGCTCAAAGAACAGCGCTCCTTCTATGAACTACTGCAGTAGCCTATTCCTTCCAGTTCATTACTATCCTATCTACCAGGGCTTAGCAGAGAATTAAAATTAATGAAGTCGTCGTGACATTCATTTAAAGGTGTATGTCATCGGTGATGTCGTTTGTAAGTTTCTTTTCAAC